CAATGTCGCGCCAAATATATATATATATGAATAAGTATTTATCTATACTAAATAATGTAGTAAATACTCAAAATTTTAAAATATTATAATTTTTCACCAGGTAACAGTCCAGACCGGTCTGGAGGAGAGAGATCGAGAGAATAAAAGGAAATAAAAACCAATTTTATAATAAATTGAGTTTTATGTTTGGAAAGATACAAAAATAGTGAATCTTACTTTAGTATAATTTAAGGTAACTAGATAGCGTCTTTCTCCATATATTTGGACTCAAATTAAAATATTTGGATTCTTTTTAGCTAAGAATTGACTTGATTTGGCTCAAACTGAAATTAATTTGGCTCAAATTAAGTTGTTTGGATGCATTCCAACTCCAAATCGGATTGAAATTGGCTAGTGATTCGTTACATTCATTTTATTTATCATTATATATAAATAATTTTTATAAATAAAAAATACTACAAGCAGATCTCGAGTCAGTTCGAGCTGAACTATGCATGACTGAAAATCGGCTCGAAAAAACTCGATTCAAAATTTCAGCTCTTTGCTCGGATTGTTTATTTCAATCTGATCTCTATTTGAGCCAAAATTTAAATCAATTTTTGAGTGATTAACGATCTTTGAGCTAAATTCACAATTAAACGTATGAGTCTACTAATCTAGTATGATTGTCGAACTTTAATGATTGAAGATGTTGAGGGATCGGGTCACCTCTCAGGTCAGTTTATTTGTGATGATTCATTTAGATGCTTCTTGGTCTTGTTAATACTGAACGGTTCGGACTCAAAATTTTGTTACTATTACTTGTTTTAATTATGTCGTAAGAAAAATTAATATCATCCTCACTTTAGGAAGCCCTTCGCTTAATCCACATATTCACAAGCAAAGAGATTATTTAATTGAATTTGAATAGCAAATAGATTAATCTTTCTGGTTTCAGATCTGTGGTATGTATGTAAATTTTTCCATAATTTAGGGTGACCCAATTAGGCTAGTAAAAATTGAAGTTTAGGTGTAGATATGTAAATATATAAGAAAGTGGTATTTATGTTAATCTTTCCATGATTTAGAGCACCCCAATTAGGCTAGTAAAACTACGCTTTTTTCTTCCTAAAATCTTGGTTACTCACGTACTTAAATCAGCCTGAAATAAATATCTTCAAAATATGTAGAAACCAACATACTTAATTTGCCTCAATGCAATAAATTATATGGAGTAAAAGATTGATTTTATTTTCATGATATAAATATATCATATTCAAAAAGAATTTTTGACATTTATTTTAGTTAATCACTTATAAAAGTATTAAATAACGTCAAGTGAAAAGCTCGTAAGATGAACGTTGGGAATAAAATAATGCGAAGAAGCTATACTCATAGATCTGCAGGGATGTCCTCAAATCATCCTCTGCTTCGGGCACGAAATCCCCACCGACACCTCCGACAAACAAATCTACCACGTTTTCCTTGAATACGCCTTCGGAGGCTGCATTTCCGATGCTCTATCGACGCCAGCCATCCGCCAATATGCTCGTTTCATCGTCTTCGGTCTTCGACACATCCACAACATGGGATATGTCCACCATGACATCAAACCCGATAACATCTTATTCGTCGATGGAGAAGCGAAGATAGCCGACTTCGGTGTTGCGATGAGGGCAGCAGAGGAATCCACCAAGGGATACATTAGAGGAACGCCGTTGTACTTGGTTCCCGAATCTGCTGCATGAAATATGAACAATGCGGCGGTGGACAT